TGGCCTGCAACCCAGGTATGTGCCCTGACTGGGAATCGAACCAGTGACCCTTCGGTTCACAGACCAGCGCTCAGTCCACTGAACCACAGCAGCCAGGGCTGATTGGTTGTTGGGTTGTTTTTTTCCTTGTGTTCCGTATCATTGATGTGATTCTCAACCTAAACTAAAACCCAGAGTGTTAACTTGCTAGGCCTTTCATAACCAAGTACCCCAAGCTGGGCAGCTTCTGTTTCTTTACAGGGCCGAGGGTCCAAGATCAAGACGCCAGCAGGTGTGGTTTCTCCTGAGGCCTCTCTCCTTGGCTTGCAGCAGCCTCCTCGGGTCCTCACATGGCCGTCTCTCTGTGTGTCTTTTCTCATGAGGACGCCAGTCAGACTGGATTGGGGCCCACTCTGCCAGCCTCGTTTTAATTTAATCACCCTGTTAAAGACCACCCTACCTTCTTCAGCCCTGGCAGGGCGGCTCAGTCCGGTAGAGCGTAGTCCCAGTACGCCAAGGTTGCAGGTTGATGCCTGGTCAGAGTGCGTACTTGCAAGGATGAACAAGAATAAATGTATGGGTGGGTGGAACAGCGAGCAAATTGATGTTTCTGTCTCTCTTCCCCTCTCTGTAAAATCAATCAATTTTAATAAAATTAAAAAATAAAGACCACCACCTCCACAACAGTTACATTTGGGGGAACACAATTCAGCCTGTCCCACCCAGCCAGACTGGCTCCTCTGGCTGGGACAACTGCCCCAGCCCTCAGTCACCCACCTCTGTGTGAGCCCTGTGCCAGCCAGCACATGCCATGGGCCACACAGGGCTGGACGGTCCCCACCCCACAGAGTGTCTGCAATGTCATGGGTTCCATATTCTCATCTACTTTCGAATCCCATCCACCTGCCTTGGATTGGAGTCCCCGTCACCAGGCCGGTTCACTGGTAGCTGTTTTGTGACACCGCTGAACACTGGCACCCCTCCGTGGCACAGCAGCCTTTGACAACTACCCACACTCCTCGGCGAGTCCAGCGCGCTGGGCATCCTGGGAGGAAAGCTGGGGGATGCTGACGTTCCCAGGGCCCACGTCTTGGAGCTCATTGAATCCTCCGTGGTCCTGCAGGACTCGCTCATTCGGCAGATTTTCTAAATGGGGGAGGCACAGGTGAGAGCAAACCAAGCCCCTGCCATGAGGGAACTCACATCCTGGTGAAGGGACACAGACAATACACCAAACGAAGGAAAAAATGCAGGCTTTGAGGGAGGTGGTAAGGAGAAGAAACAAAACTGGGTGGGGGCTGCTGGTCCCCCGAGCCTGGAGGGCGTGGCTTCTCTGCTGGGGACATTCAAGGAGAAGCCTGAACCAAGAGGAGCCTTCCAGGGGAGGGGACGGTAAGTACAGAGTTGCCAAGGAGCAGCAGCTGCCCAGGTGTCTGGAGAGTGGTAAGCAAGGGGACTGCACGGGACAAATTTCACCCCACCCCGAAGAGCCTGGCCTGTGCCCTCCTCTGGGAGGCAGGCCGTGAGCCTTGATAGGAACGAGCGTCTGCCTGCCTGGGGGCTGTGTCCTTCTGGGTGGCCTAACAGTGTGGTTTCCGGTGAGGGCACCCACCAGGATTCAGGGTGGGTGATTTGGGTCACGCCCACTGTGGGGTCCTGGAGCTCTCAATGGGTGGATCCATCATGCCCGTGTGAAGTAGCCCCAATAAAAGTTCTGAGTCACCCAGGCTCTGAGCTCCCCTGCTTGGCCGGACTCTGTGTGTCGTCGCTCCTTGAAGCCAGGACAGGCAGCTGTTGGTGGGCGAGAGGACAACCGGAAGCTCCGTGTTTGGAACTTCCCTAGACCTTCCAGTGTGTGTGTTTCCCGATGGCTGATTCAATCTGTATCATCTCTGTTGTAAACTATGACCATGAGCGTAGCAGCTTTCCATGTGTGCTAAGAAATTACCCAGCCAAAGAGCTGTCGTGGGGAACCTCAAACCTGCAGTTGGCGTCAGAAGGGAGAGGGGTCCCTCTAAATGCGGACTAACTGCGCGCAGGGACAGTAGGGAACGACAGGTGGCAGAGGGATATGCTGCTTGGACCTTCCAGCGGGGCCTGGCTGGGGCCGGGAGGTTTGGCACCACCGCACAGGTAACGTGGTTTGGCGCGGAAACCTGAGAAGGGGGGAGCCTGGCCCACTGCCCCTGAGTGATCTTGCTCAGAACTGTTGCAGGAAGCAGGGTGACAGTGAAAGGGGGACGTGGAGGTGACAGTGGGCCTCGTTCCGATGGAACAACCCGGTAAAGGGGATTGAGGAAGAGGAGATCGTGGCTGAGGTGGCCCTTCAGCATGCACGCAGCGGAGTGTACTAGTGCTACTTGCAAGGTCCTGGGGAGGACATGGGTGACATTCTCGAGGTCGTGGGTGGAGCAGGAAGGTCAGTGGTGGGAGCAGGAGGCGTGCTCTCCGGCTGATGGGGATGTTTTCAATCACGGAGGACACAAAGCTAGAAAGGGCGGGGGGCGCAGGATCATCTTCCGGGCCCGCGGACGCCTGAATGGATCCGAGAGGTGGGGCAGGTGCGGGGTTGCCCGGTGGGCTGCATTGCCCTAGAAACTGGTCTCCACGAGGAAAGCATTTGTCCAGCCACACAGTCTCCTTTCGCCGGGACAGGGTTCTGCCGGGCAAGTACGTGGTGTGAGAGGGGCTGAGGGAGGTGAGCGGATGAGGACAGCCAGCAAGTAGGTGGAGGAGACAGTGCATTGTGGCTCGTAATGTGCGTGACTGTGACCAGATCAGTAACAGGAGGGACCCAGAGAGCGCGGCAGTGTCCTAGAGTGGGCTGCCCAAAACTGAGGTTGGGAGGGTGGTGGTGACAGCGTGGGTGGCAGGCTGCAGGCCATGGCCAATGGGTGCCTGGTGAAAAAAACAGTTGTTCATGAACACGGAAGTGTAGAAAATGTTAGGGCACCGTACAGAGTAAGTATGCACTAAATCATTAAACTTTACATATGTGTATACTGGGTCATAAGGAGGAGACTATATTTTTACCATTTTCATCGTGGTAAAACAGTAACAAAATTTGCCATTTGAGCCATTTTTAAGTGTGTGCTTTGGCGGCATTAAGTACATTCCCATATGTGTGGAACCATCACCACTCTCCCCAAAGTTGTCATTATCCCAAACAGAAACTTCACATCCAGAAAATGTCTCATTTACTGTGGTCAGTTAAAATGTTTGAAAAGCGCTGGTGAGTGGTCAGCAAGGGGGGTTGTATTCTGGCCATGCAGAGCCCAAGGTCCTTGCAGGACAGGGGCCAGCGAGCAGATGGCCAGGGCGCCGGAAGGACCACCTACAACTCACACACTGCAGCCACTCAGATTCTAACAGAAAGCTGCGCCTCCGAGAATGAAGCTGGGAACCATGATGCAAAGAACAACAGTGAGTCCGGTGCCAGCGTTCGAAGAACAGGGGTCTGCATAAATAGAGCAGAAATGATCGAAGTGCCCAACCACCGTAGATAGTTAAATATGTAGGTAGGTATCTTTTAAGTTTAATACTGTGCAGCCACTAGAGGTATTTAAAGAAGCTGCAATAATAGCCCTGGCTGGTGGCTTGGTTGGTTAGAGCATCATCCTGTAAGAGGTTGATGCTCCATCAACCAAGAGGTTGCTGGTTCGATTACCAGTCAGAACACATGCCCAGGTCGCAGGTTCCAGTGCCAGTCTGGGTGCATATGAAAAGGCAACCAGTAGTAGTTTCTCTATCTCCCTTCCTCTCTAAAATCAATGGGCATGTCGGTGAGGATGAAAAACCCTGCAATAACAGAAAAATGCCCCCGCCAAAAAGCGGAATACAAAATTATATAAGTTGTGGATCATAAGTGCAGTTTATTTTCAACAAAACACGGAGAAAAGATTTGCAATAGCAAAAACAAGTGTAATGTTTAAGAAACTTAAGAAATTAAAAGAGCCCTGAAAGGCTTAACAGTTAAGGAAGAGATGCTAACACATCTGAAAAAGGCATCTTAAAATCTTGAGTTCCCACTCTGCAGCCAGGTTTGTGGGAGCAGGCAGCTGGAGACAGCTAGAATGGCTAAGTTCCCACAAATATGTAAGAGGTAAGCCAGCTGCTTTCTAAATAATAACTCGGGTGACACAGATCTGTATAGTGCATTGCACAAAAGAAACAAGATCTGAAGAATGCTGACGGGTATAAAAATATTACACACAATGTAACCTCGACTTTATGGGTTTAAAAAATGACGTACTTAAAAAAATCTATAGAGAAAGGCTATGGAACCAACAAAATAATGAGAGAAGAGTGGGGCAGCAAGTGTGGCCAACGAGATGCCTGGGACTCGAGCGCGCCATCGGTCCGACTTGGGGCGTCCAGAGCAGAGATACTGGCCAGGTGCAGATCCACCGGTTCTCAGACTGGCTCGGAGAGCTCGGGGAGGGTGGTCGGAGTGGGTAAGCGCGCAAGACCCGGTACTCCTCGGACAGGGTCGAGGGTCTGGGCAGGTAAACCGAGGCGCCGCGCACGGACAACCCACTCGCCCCACCTCCGCCACAGGGCTGTGAGCCCAGCATATCCATGACCCACCCGAGGGTGCGGAGAGAGTAGGTGACCCGCGGCCTTCTCGGGGTAAGGGCTCTATACAAGAAAATCGTGCGTGGAAAGTGACCGGCCCGGACCAACCAGCGCCTGCGCGCGGTCCTCCCCGCGGAGCACGCCCCCGCGCACGGCCCCGACCCCGCGCGGCCCCGCCCCTGCGCCCCTCGGCGCTCACAGGCTGGCTCCGAGGCCGCGCTCGGAGGGCCGGCCAATGGAAGCGCGGCGCGCCCCGCGGCACGTGCGCCCCTGCCCGCCGGGCCGAGTGCGAGCCGGCCGAGCTCCCGGGCACGGAGCGCGCCGGGCGCGGGCGCGCGGGCGAGGCGGGGCGCGGGCGGGGCGCGGGCGGGGCGCGGGCAGTGCTGATTGCTGATTGGCCGGCCCCGCGTTCCGAGGCCGTTAACGGCGGCGCGGCGGGGCCGCGGCTCCAAAACAAAGGGCTGGCGGCCCGCGGGGCGGCGGCGGGAGGATGCCTCGCGCCCTGCGGAGGCGACAACGGCCGCAGCGCGTCCCGGGTCGTGCCCGGGCCGCCTGAGAACCGAGCCCGCGCTGACCGAGGCCCGGGCCGGATGGGCGCTGCGGGCCGGGGCGCGGACCGCCGAGCGGCCGTGAGTACGGGCGGGCCTGGGCACTGTTGCGCGGGCGGCTACTTGGTGGCGACCCAAGGAGCCTGTGGCTGCGGGCGGGGTCCGGAGGCACCTGTTGGGCGCCTGGGCCGGCGGGCGGGGCGCGAGCGGGCCGCACCTGTCGATGTTTTCCTTCTGATTTGATTCTTTGATTTGTTGGTATTTGGTTCACTCCGTTTGGAGCAAACCAAGAAGCCTAATATTTGTCACCCCCCCCCCCCCGCATTTTTCCCTCCTCCTCCCACCCCCGCCCTGAAAAAAAAAAAAGGTACAGAGGGAATGAACTACATAATATAGGCTTTTCCCTCTTTAAAAAAAAATAACTCGCCATTGGGGAGGGAAATGAGGCCAAAAAAGGTCTCCTAGGAATAATTAAGAAAAGAGGGAAATGTTTTCAAGTTGCCCACATAAAGGTCGTGACTAAAATGAATTGCCCTGCGCCCTCCGCTGGTTCCCCACTGGTGGCAAGTGGCTCTATTCCAGCAGAGCTCGCAAATGCCTGCGCTTTGGAAGCCTGCTGAGCGGGGTCCCCCTCCCCCAGCCTTGCCCGTGATTGACATATTCGATGTCCAAATCGTGTGCTGGGTTTTAGGATAGAAAGAATGCTGAATTTTGTTTTAGGTAGAGAGTGGCCTTGGAAGATACCAAGTGTCCCCACCCCCAAGCCTTTTCTGTTCAGTTGCATTTCTTCTTTCTCTTTGTATCCAAAACATACACACCTTAATGTTGTTTTTTCCGCCAGAGCCCCTCACTCTCCTAAACTACCCAAGCCTCAAGGCAAGGCTTCCCTGCGCTGGGAAACCCTTTCAGGTGCTTCACATGCGCGGGCTGCCCCTCTCCCATCAGCTGTGCGCCCTTTGGCCTCTGCTCTGTTGTAGACGATGAGACGGAGGTTTGATGAGCCCCTGCCTTGCGTCAGGTGCTGCACTCCGCCCCAGCGTTGTGGACTTTCACGGTCCTGCGCTGGTCTCCCTACCCCTAGCTGTGGGCTCTTGGGCAGCAGTAGTGGCTCATCTGAAGAATGCTAAAGCGAGGCCCTCCCCTCTCAGCTCTTAGGGTGCAGAGTGCGTTCTCCTGGTGGAAACCCCTCAGGGCCAGGACCAGGGCAAACTCAAGTCTTAAGACAACCACGTAGCACAGGGTCGGGCCTGTTTTGGACACTTTGAAAAAAAATGATCTTAATCACTAATCTGAGCAATAGTCCTCCTGCTTTTTAAATAAAGACCTTCTGTTGGAATAATTGTAAATTTACATACAAATTGCAAAAAAAAGCACAGGCCATCCCGGTGTTCTCCACACTCAGTGTTACCTTTCTCTTTGTTCCCATCCTACATTGCTGTGGTTCATTTGCCAAAATTAGCAACTGACATGGGTCCATTCCTTTAAGTAAGTTCCAGACATGCAGTCTCTCTGTTTTCGAAGCACTAAAATGAGTAAAGTTCTTTTTATGTTGAGAGCGATGTCCCTTTAGTGACTGTCTTTGGTTCCACCAGCCCCCCCCCAAATCCCACGAGGACCCCGTGTCAAGGGGCAGGGGTGGGGGTGCAGAGGGCAAGGGACTAGCATGTTGTTTTAATGCACTTTTCTCCCCAGAGGACTGATGGAAGGAGTATAGTTGGGAACGTGAAGCAGTGATAGGAGTCTGCCTGCTTTAAAGCCATTCTCTGACACTTTTCATTCCTCATTCATTTACTTTCCAGTTTTTAGAAAAGTGGTTAGATCTGTTAATCAACAAAACCTCCAGAGAGTGGGAATTTTGACAAGAGATTTCAGCAGAGGTCGGAGAAAGTTCCGAACAGCCAAGTCACTGGAGGGCCGAGCGTTCTGGGCAGGGCAATGTAAGTTAATTTCTGGAAAGAAGTCAAGAGGACAAGATGGACTTGGCCAGCTAGGTGACAACTGTGACAGAGACGGGGTACTGCAGAAAACCTGGGTGCTGCCGAGAGTAGAATAGAAATCCTGCAGCCAGCCAACACGGTGTCCCGGAAAGGGACCCCTACTCCAGCACCTGCCGAGCCTCAGAGCCAGACCAGGGCGCCCTGTGGGTCTTGTGAGGCGTTGTGCGAGCTTGCTAACTCTGCCACGCTACAGTGCATCGCATGTTACCCCCCCCCCCCATTTTACCACCAAGTCCATGGCACAGTTTGAGTGGAGCCTTTTTTCACCCTTGTTCCCCCCCCACACACACACAGCCTGTCTCTACAAACCTCACCTGCTGGCTCCCTCGTGCAGCCACCTGTCTTCCCAGCCCCAGCCCACTCCCCACCCCCACCCCCTCCAGCACACTGGCCCCCTTTTCCATTCCTCTTTGCATTTTGGGTTTTTCCCTTCCCTTGCACAACACCGGGCTTTGAATGTTTGCTTATGTTTTATTTAGCATGTGACCAATCGTTTAAGATTACCAGCTTCTTTCCTCTTGCTTCAATTCAGTCTTCTAGGTTTAGTCCCACCCTCTCACCTGGAGAGAAGGGCAGCCTTGAGGGCCTATTGTCGTTCCCGTGTCTTTCCCCCCCATTAGCAAGGAAGCAAGCAACCTTTGCTAGACTGTCTCAAGGCCATAGTGGGAAACTTTGTTACTAGTGGGAGAATTAAAGAAGAATGTATGAAGTTTCTTCTGAAAGAAAGGATTAGTGCAAACTCATTAATCAGTAGTCCCGTGGGAGATGTGGAGACAGGACCTGACCACTGGTGGGGGGGGCAGTCAGGCCCCCCTGCTGCTGGGTCAGGCGGGAACCCAAACCCCAGGGAGGCAGGGCCGCGGAGTGCACAGGGGGCCTGGGTGCTTTGTCTGCGGGTTTCCACGCAGGGCCAGGAATGTCTTCTCTTCCCTCCCATTGGATCAGGGGTCCGCAGAGGCCGCAGGCCCTGAACCGTGGAGAAAGGCTTTCCTTCCTCCAACCGGCGCAGGAAGGGAGTTTGTGAGCGTGAGGGCCACCTGGTTACTGCCAAAGGCCCGCCATGCCCCTGCCACCAACCTCTGATGTAAACCCTTCCAGGCCTTTCCATGCTGGTGAGAGTTTGAATTGTCAGTACATACACTTGATATCAAAATCAAAAGTTACCAAAAAAGCAAAGACACTGCTTTTAGTCACCTTCCCTGTCCTTCCTGTCCCCAGCCTGAGGTCCCAGTGCTTCATGTGTGCGGAGCTATTTGGCCCGTGTCCTTCAGGTTAGGCTTAGGAGCTTTCTGCTCTTTTGTTATTATAGGCAACGTTGTAACAACCAGTCTGCAATTATGTTGCCCCGGTGCAGGTGAGTCGGGAGCTAAGTGCCTGGGGTGGACCCTGGTCCGAGAGCACTGGTGGGTGTTGTTAGCGTGCAGCTGCGTCTGCGCCTGCTCTCTGCAGCAGTGCTACCAACTTTCTTAGAATCTTTGCCAATCTGCTAGATTATAAGGCAGGTATCAGCGTGCCTTGAATTTGTGTAGATGAGTATAATGAGTAAAATTCACGCCCATCTACCAGTCTGCAGGCCCTGTGGTCCAGGGTGCTGGCTTTGAATCCAGCCCAGTGTTACTGTGTAACATTGGCAGATTGGTGAAACTCTCAGGCCTCAGTTTTGCTGTCTGCAGAGTGGGGCTAATAAGAGCACGCATCTGGTAAGGCTGCTGTTAATTCATTTGATTTTCATAGAGTCAGCTGCTTTGAATGGTGCTGGCTTTGACCGCGTGGCCCTGGGATAGTCTGCGTTTCTGTGCCCGTGGTGGACGAGGCGTCCCCACACACGCTGCCGGCCTGGGGTTCTGCTTTCTCCAAGAACTCCGGCTGGCCACAGCAGGCCGTGTGCACGCGCGGGCCGTGCCATTTTGAGCTGTGTTTTCTTCCCCAGCTCCCCTGGAGCTCTGTCCACCGGCACCCGAGTGACAGGGAGACCCCAGTTCCCCCCACACTGACACGCCCGCTGCTTGTCCGCCTGGCACCTCCTTTCTCTCCGCGATGTGGCAGGGGCCTGGCACTGGCGCTCCCCTGCCAGGGGGTGGGCAGGCTGGGGGGAGAGGCAAATGCTCCAGAGAGCGGGAGGGGCCTCAGCCAGCCTCCGTTCTGGTCTGTAAGTGTCAGAACTCTCTGAGGTTCATTTCTCACTGTTTTTATCTTCAGAAGTGTGGTAACGGCGCCATATGGATGCAGGCCTGATTCACGTTCTCCTAAAATAAGTGTGTATGCTTATTTCAGGAGTGAATCTTCTGGAATCCAGAATACTGTTTTTGCTCTAAAAATTACCTCACTCATCTCTTTTGTGGGGATGGTAGCTGCCCCCCCGCCTCTGCTGCCCGGGGACACAACGTCCGGTAGAGGACACGGTTTGCTTGGTGCGTTTGCTCTTTCGTCATTCACAGGCGGTTCTGCTGGAGCCCTTCGGGGCGGGATGAGGGTGGGGATGCTGAAGCACCCCACTCAGCCTTCGGAGGGCTGACCATGAACCCAGGGAATGGACCAGGCTCCTAGACGCGACAGGGTCACGAGCAGGCCCCCCCTCGCCCCCCGAGGAAAGGGGCCACCCAACCACCAGGGCTCCTCAGGTAGCGGGCGCCTCAGGGCGGGACTGCCCGCTGGGCCTCAGTGGACTGACAGGGAGGCACAGCGTTGAGAAACTGAAAATAGACCCCTGGCGAGCTGCCACTTGTAAAGTCGTCGTCCCGTTCACAGTTTAAAAATGAGCCCTGGTTGCCCTGGCTGGTGTGGCTCAGTGGATGGAGCGCCGACCTGTGACCCAAGGGTCACGGGTTCGGTTCCCAGTCAGGGCACATGCCTGCGTTGCAGGCCAGGTCCCCAGTAGGGGGTGCATGAGAGGCAAGCACACATTGGTGGTTCTCTCCCTCTCTTCCCCTCTCTCTATAAATGAATAGTCTTTTTAAAATAAAAAATGAGGAGTGACCCCCATTCTGATGGTGCATGTAAGCGGTCATCACGTGTGTGAGAGCGTGACTGAAACGCGGGATAGTGTCCACAGGTTTCCTGTCAGGTCGCAGGGAGCAGCGCCTT